TGGTTAAATTACTGCAGCATGTGCAAATTATCATTTATTGCAAAATTAATTCCTATCTTAATTTTCACCCACAAATAATGAATTTAATATAAACACAAGGTGAAACTAAGTTCCAAAAGACCCCTAAATTTAATTCTAGGCTCAAAAAGGGTAGATAAATCCATATAAAAATTAAACTCATCACCCTCGTATTTGCACGTTCTATTATATTATTATTATTATTATTTACTTACTCCAGTTTGTCTATCTATATAATTTTACTCGATTAAAAAGTTTTATGCAGTTACCAACGAGAGGTTGGATCAAGTGGTAAGCGGCTTGTTCCAACTTAAGTAAGGTCTCGAGTTCGAGTCCTTGTGAATGCAGCAGCCCTCGCTGGGAGACTCACCCACCATTTCCAGGTGCGCGACGCGGGTCGGGTCCGAATTAGTCGGGGCGAAGCCCCGGATACCGGACGGAAAACCGAAAAAAAAAAAGTTTTATGCAGGAAATAAGAAATTTACTCCCCTTTTTTTTTGTAGCAAAAAAAAAAAGAGCTAAGCAAGTATAGGTTGATCCAGATTCATTTCATGGCCAAACAATTTCCTGGAATATTGTTAATAAAAAATATATTTTTAGATAAGAGAATTCTAAAAATTACAATTTTATTTCTCATCCATTTATTCAGGTAATAAGGAGGGTTCATAAACTCTATTACATAAGAGGATGCTTTTCTACTTATAAAGCTTCGGACGATGAAATTCTACAATTCCTCTGTTAATTCATTCCCCTCTGCATGGTAATCCTGCAAATTTCAAATAATAAAACTAATTAAGCAAAAGATGCATAGTTCTCAATAATCAAAATAAAAAAAGTACTAATTAATTAATCAGTCAATTATATTGATAATTAGAGAGTACAAATAGCAAAATTAATTAGTTTACTAATTAACAGCATCTTAACATACTAAATCAAAAATCTTAAATTCAAATTTTTAGTTCATTTATATCAAATTTAGGAACAAAGTCAGAAGGAGAAATGGATTACGTATTGCAGTTGATGTCGGGGTCGATGGGCATCAGAGTTTCAAAACTACACTTTGGAGACAAATCCTTAGCTATTTTTGGGTCGACCCCAAAGGAATGGGCAGCCTCCTTCAAACATTGACAAA